GCTGGGGGACGGAAGTTGGGAGACGGAGAGAGAAGAGAGGAGATAGGAGAGAAAATACTTAAAATGTCCTTGCATTAAAATTTTAATCAAAAATTACCAAAATTATAAATTTTCTAATTTATCTATTGATTTGTGGTTGAGATTGTACCTCACGGTTACCACAAACTAATTAGTTCTCATTTGATTAGGCCCACACACACACACACACATACACACACACACACACATACACATACAGACATACATACATACATACATACATACATACATACATACATACATACATACATACATACATACATACATACATACATATATATATATATATATATATATATATCGGGGTTGGTTCAAATATTAACCAAGATTTTTGTGTTAACTAACCAAGCTCAACCAATCATATTCCATCTTTTCTTTAGGCTCCATATAACTCATATATTAATGACAAGGGTAATTACGTAATTTGTCATTTATGTAACTCCCAAATCATTAATTGGGAGTTACAAATCTAAAAATCTCAATAATTGATGATTATGTAATATTGATATTTTTTTATACGTGTTCATGTTTTGTAATTTCGATTTATTCTATCCTTAATGATATTGATTTTGTAATTGTTAAAGAATYTBCGATTGTAAAGATTTCGATATCGTCCGAGTAATATGGATAAACCTATTGGAAAACAGATCGACAACAATGAGAATGAAAAGGTTAAAATCGTCTACGACTATAATCGGAATTCGAATTCATATGTAATTGTTAAATAATTGTTCACAAGTGTTCATATTGTGTTCATATGTACACTAGATGTATATCTCAACATTGGCTTGCTCTTGAATGTGTTTATAATGAAGGAACTATTGTTCACAAACTATTCATATTGTGTTCATACCTGCATATCTCAACATTGGCTTGCTCCTGAATGTGTTCATAATGAATGAACTATTATTCACAAACTGTTCATATTGTGTTCATACATGTTTTATTTATTTATTTACTTTCGTGTAACAATTATTCTTATTATATTCATATTGTGTTCATAAATGTTATACAGTCCAAGTTCATATATATGTCAATTTTTGTTCGTATTTGACACAATGGCTTATATATATATATATATGTATGTGTGTGTGTGTGTGTTTGTGTGTGAGATCATATTGTTCTTACATTAACAAAAATAAATTAATAAAAATAATGAGATATTTTGATTTTGTAACTCCCAATTAATGATATGGGAGTTACATAAAAAAAAAAATTACCTAAATACTCTTTTCCCCTTTGTTTACATATATTATTTGAAATTATAAATTTAAAAATTTAATTTTTTATCATGATTAATCACAACCCTTATTTGTAAGAATCAATGGTCAAGATTGGTTAACAAAGTTAACACAAAAATCTTGGTTAGTATTTG